CAAAGCAAAGGCTGTGTTAAGAGGAAAGTTTATAGCTCTACAAGCATTGCTCAGGAAGGAGGAGCAAGCACAAATAAGTAACCTAACCTCACAGCTTAAGAGCTTGGAGAAGGACCAAAAAAAGGAGCACAACGCGAACAGGAGAAAGGAAATAATAAAACTCAGAGCAGAGATTAACGAGATGAAAACCCAAAAAACGATCCGAAAGATCAATGAAACCAAAAGCTGGTTCTTTGAGAAAATTAACAAGATCGATAAGCCTCTAGCAAAACTCACAAAGAAAGGGAGAGAGAAAACCCTAATAAACCGAATCAGAAATGAAAAGGGGGTCATTACAACAGAAACCACAGAAATTCAGAGGATCCTCAGGGAGTACTTTGAGAAGCTTTATGCCATGGAACATCAAAACCTCGAGGAAATGGATAAATTCCTAGACTCCTACCGACTCCCAAGGCTGAACCAAGAAGACCTGGAATACCTGAACAGACCTATCACCATCAAGGAAATTGAAATGGTAATAAAAAGTCTCCCCAAGCACAAATGTCCTGGCCCGGATGGATTCACCAGTGAATTCTTCCAAATCTTTAAAGAGGACTTACTCCCGATGCTCTTTAAGCTTTTCCACGAAATTGAAATATCAAAAACACTTCCGAACAGTTTCTATGAAGCAAATATCACACTGATACCAAAAGCAGACAGAGATACCACAAAGAAAGAGAATTACAGGCCGATATCCCTGATGAACACAGATGCAAAGATCCTCAACAAACTACTAGCAAATAGAATCCAACTACTCATCAAAAAGATCATACACCATGACCAAGTAGGATTCATCCCAGGGATGCAAGGATGGTTTAACATTCGAAAATCAATCAACATAATCCATCATATCAACAAAAGAAAAGATAAAAAGCATATGATTATAGCAATAGATGCAGAGAAAGCATTTGACAAGATCCAGCACCCCTTTATGATGAAAACCCTAGCCAAAATGGGTATAGAGGGGATTTTCCTCAACATAATTAAAGCCATCTACCACAAGCCTACAGCAAGCATCATCCTCAATGGGGAAAAACTGACAGCCTTCCCTCTAAGATCAGGGACGAGACAGGGATGCCCACTCTCTCCACTTCTGTTCAATATAGTACTGGAAGTACTTGCAATAGCGATTAGGCAAGAAAAAGATATTAAGGGCATTCACGTAGGAAAGGAAGAAATCAAGCTCTCACTATTCGCAGATGATATGATACTCTACTTAGAGAACCCAATAACCTCCACCAAAAAACTCCTAGAAACAATAGACTCGTATAGTAAAGTTGCAGGTTATAAAATCAATACCCAAAAGTCCATGGCTTTCCTATACGCAAACAGTGAGAGAGAAGAAAGCAACATGAAAAAAACAATCCCATTCACAATTGTGCCCCAGAAAATCAAGTACCTAGGAATCAGCTTAACTAAGGAAGTAAAGGACCTGTACAAAGAAAACTACAAAACGCTACTTCAGGAAATAAAAGAGGACATGAGGAAATGGAAAGATATCCCCTGCTCATGGGTCGGGAGACTTAACATTGTCAAAATGGCAATACTACCAAAAGCATTGTATAAATTCAATGCAATCCCTATAAGGATACCCATGACATTCTTCAAAGAAATGCAGCAAACACTCCTGAAATTTATATGGAACAATAAGCCCCCACGAATAGCTAAAGCAATTCTTGGGAAAAAGAAAATGGGAGGAATCAAGCTCCCTAACTTCAAACTGTACTACAAAGCAGTAATAATTAAAACAGCATGGTACTGGAACAAAGGCAGAACTGCAGACCAATGGAACAGGGTTGAATACACTGACATCTCCCCTCAATCATATGATCATCTAATCTTTGATAAAGGTGCAAGTAATGTGAAGTGGAGTAAGGAAAGCCTCTTTAATAAATTGTGTTGGCATCATTGGACGGCTACATGCAAAAAAATAGGCACAGAACTCTGCCTAACACCATGTACAAAAGTAAGATCAAAATGGATTAAAGACCTCCACATCAGACCAGAAACCATAAGGTACATTATAGATAAAGTTGGCAAAACCCTCCATGATATTGAAGCTAATGGTATCTTCAAAGATGCCACGCCACTGGCCAAGCAAGTGAAAACAGAGATAGATAAATGGGACTATCTTAAACTAAGAAGCTTCTGCACCTCCAAAGAAACAGTGACCAAAATACAAAGACAGTCTACAGAATGGGAAAGGACATTCGCCGAATACACATTTGATAAGGGGTCGATATCAAGGATATATAAAGTACTGGTTGAACTCCACAAAAAGAAAACATCCAACCCCATCCAAAAATGGGGCAATGAAATGAACAGAAACTTTCTCAAAGAAGACATCCGAATGGCAAAAAAGCACATGAGAAAATGCTCTACATCATTAATCATCAGAGAGATGCAGATCAAAACCACAATGAGATACCATCTCACACCTCAGAGACTGGCCCATATTCAAAAGAACAAAAGCAACTGATGCTGGCATGGATCTGGCGAGAAAGGGACACTCCTTCACTGTTGGTGGGAATGTCCACTGGTTCAGCCCTTCTGGACAACAGTATGGACGATTCTCAAAAAATTAGAAATTGAGCTCCCATTTGACCCAGCAATACCACTCCTGGGAATATATCCCAGAGAGGCAAAAATGTATAGTCGAAGTGACATCTGCACTTGTTTGTTCATTGCAGCACTCTTTACAATAGCCAGAAACTGGAAGAAACCCGAATGCCCAAGAACAGATGACTGGTTAAAGAAACTTTGGTACGTCTACACAATGGAGTATTATGTAGCTGTTAGAAAAGATGAAGTCATGAAATTTACATACAAGTGGTACAATATGGAAAGTATCATGCTAAGCGAAATGAGTCAGAAAGAGAGGGATAGACATAGAAAGATTGCATTCATCTGGGGGATATAAAGTAACAAAGTATGAGATTAATACCCAAGAATAGCTGAGATCAGCACCAGGAGGATTACTCCATAACTTAGAGGCCAGCCGGGTATCCTAGAGGAAAGGGCAGTTCAGATAGAGAAGGGAGCACCAAATAAAGGATGTTTGGATGATCCTCCCAGGAGGGGAGATGCATGTCGAAAGTAGACTATGGACTGAACATGTTTGCCACTCCATGCATCTTTTGCAGACCACAACACCCAAAAGGAGAGAGAGAACACAGGGGATTTCCCTGCCACAGAGGCAGGGGGGGTTGGGGGGATGGGGGTGGAGGGATATTATCCATGGTGGTGAAAAACGGGCACTGGTGGAGGGATGGGTATCTGATCATTGTATAATTGAAACCCAAGCACAAAAAATTGTAAATCTACAACTGTAAAAAATAAAATTAAATTAAAAAAAAAAAAGCAAAAGATGGACTAGAAGTGAAATTAAAAAAGTACGATGAGGGTATTTCTATTTTGATACTAGTGAAACTGTGTTAACTTTGTACATCAAAACAATATGCACTAAATTACAATATAACAAAATGTTTAAGAAAAAATAGACTATATCATGTCAGAGCAATATTATAACAGGTTGGACACTTTACTTGCATGGTGGGTTTGATTTCCACCACTGTAGCACTGTTCTCCCATTGTTCTTCGATTTACTCCAGCAGGCCCAGTAACATCTCCATTGTGAGACTTGTTGTTACTGTGTTTGGCATATTGAATACGTCACAGGTAGCTTGCCAGGCTTTGCTGAGGGGGCGAGATACTCTTGGTAGCTTGCCGGGCTCTCCGAGATGGGTGGAGGAATCGAACCTGGGCCAACTGGGTTGGCCGCATGCAAGGCAAATGCCCTACCACTGTGCTATCACTCCAGCCCAAGGAAACAAAAGGAAAACAAAAATGAGAATTATGTTTACACTCCTCCTTCCTTTGCTGGCATAGTGGGGGGCTAGAAGCCAGACCCTCACAATCCATGCCTGTGCTCAGCCGCAGCCCCAGCCTGCCTTTGTCAGTCTGAGTTTTCCATGTAGCTGACTCCAGTTCCAACCCCCAACTGCTAACAGCCCCTCAGATCCTCTGAACGCTCTCCAGGGGTCACTCCAGAGCAGAACCAGGAGTAGCTGATAACTGTTGGATGTGCCCTTCCCCCACCTCCTCAAAAAAAGGGGGAAAAATTAAAATAGTAACTTTTGTTGGTGCTAAAGTTACTGATATTGCACATTTTACTTACTCATACATTTGGATGCCCCCTCCAAAAAGAAGATTAAAACAATAACTTGTTGGCGCTACAATCACTGATATTGTACATTTTTTCCCACTCATACATTAAATCATGTCAAGGTGCAAGGGTAAAGATACTTTTCTGCACGTGGCTGACCCAGGTTTGAGTCCCCCAGCACCGCAGAGTGACCCGGGAACAACACTCTGTGTTGCAAAAAAAAAAATTAAGGCAGAGGCCAGAGAAATACAGCAGGCAAGACCCTTGCATTGTAAGCAGCCTGCGGGAGGTTCAGTCTCAAGCACCAGCCTGGATTGAGCCCTGACCTCTAGAGCATGACCTGAGCATGACCACCACCACCACCACCACGCCATACACATACCCCATTACCACCATCAAAAAATATTTTAAGATAAAAATAAAAATAAAAATATATATCAAGCCAGAGTTCAGCCTTCAGACTCCTCTGCCACGAGCCCCACGATGAGAGGGTATAGGGTCAGGCCCTACACATATGTCAGGCTTGATGACTTGGGCGAACGTGGTCCAGAAGGTCTGGACAGGTGCGACCTGCCGCCGAGCTTGTAAAAGGAAACCTGGCCCAGCTCCCAGTCCAGGTAAACACCGATGCCATGGGGCCTGCCCACCCTCATCAGGGGACAGCGGCCGCAGAGCTCGGCGCCACTACTGGCCACTGTGCTGCCGCTGCACGACTCAGAGCTTGTTAGAGCCTTGCCACATGCCCACGGCCCACTCGGCCTGGTGGCCACTTGCACCTCCCACGAAGATCACTGACTTCCCATCCGGGGATAAGGCTGCCTGGTGCTGCGGTCCAGATGCCCATCTTCTGAGAAGCACGAGATGATCTTGTGTAGCCCCGCGTGCTGGCTCAGTGGGAGGCTGAGGGTGGGGAGGTGGGTGCGGGGAGAGCACCTGGCCCCGGGCGTCACCATCCTGGCGCTCTGGAGCAACCTGGCCTTCGATGCCAGCACCCTCTGCTCCATTACCTCCACCAGCGGCGCCCTGATTGCCTGCAGGTAGTCTGCCAGGGAGCTGATGCTGACCCCGAACTTGTGCCCCCGGTGCTTCTCCTCCTCTGCCAGCCTGCAGAGCGATCCCTTCTGCTCTCGGTCCAGGGCCTGGCTCAGCATCTCAGCTGCAGCAGCTTTGCCTGCAGTTCACGCCTTGGGTCGTGCAGTGCCCTGGGGAGGCCTCAGGAGAGGTGGCCCTATTGTGCCGGGAGCCCTGCGCAGGGTACACACAACAGTGCCGGGTCTTCCTCACTGGAGAGGCTCAGCTCCCGGGCGTGCTCTTCTTGGGTGCAGGAGCAGTATAGTCTTCACAAGCTCTTCCAGACTTGCCTTGCTCACGCAGAGCTCCCGCTGGCACTGGTGGCAGCAGAGGGGGCAAGGGAATCCCCACTGTGGCTCCTCCCAGAGCCTCTGCAGGCAGCCAAGGCCCGAGTTGTGACTGCATTCCGTGGTGATGGTTCCACGAGGACATCCTCAGATGGGGCAGGTGGCTTCTGCCTGGACCTTGGCCAGAGCTGCGTCCATGGCTCTGGCGTGGAGGGCAGGGAAGCCCAGGCAGGCTGCTGTCGGGGAGGTTAAAGAGGGGGTTTCTTTGTTTTTTTTCCCCGGGAGAGTGGGCCCTGTCTGAAAGCTGCACATTCCTTAGAAGGTCTGGGAGCACAGGGGCCTGGGAGGTCCTGAAGTGAATGTCCACGTGTGTGCAGGGACGCTCAGTGTCTCACAGGAAGCCCTTCCAGAAGGCTCTCTGAAGGTAGTCTCCTAGTGAAACTGTGTTAACTTGGCACATCAAAACAATAAGCACTAAATTAAAATATAACAAAATGTTTAAAAAATAGACTATGTCATGTCAGAGCAATATTGTAACAGGTTGGGCACTTTACTTGCATGGTGGGTTTGATTTCCACCATCACATATAATTCCCTGAGTCTGCCAGGAATGATCCCTGGGCACAGGGCCATGAGTAAGCCTGAACACCATCAGGTGTGTCCCAATGACCAAAATTAATTAACTAATTTAATTAAATAAAAGGTAAGCTTGCCTCACTGAGGATTAATTACACAAAATGACTTTGAAATAATCGTAACTACAAAAAATAAATTCACCTATGAATGAATTTGAAACATAAAATGGATGCTGGAGGAATCAAGCTAGAATATTGCAAATTTGTCAACACATATGTTACATTATTTCTTTTATTCTGATAATGAAATATTGCTTTTTATTTTTTTATATTTCATTCATGTATTTTCTGTTGAACCATATCTAGACTGCTCAGGGCTCTTTCCTGACTCAATGCTAAGAAATCGTTCCTGGCTATGCTCAAGGAATAATGTGTCACACCATGAAACCCATCTGGGTTGGCCAAATTCATGGCAAGTGCTTTTCCTGCTGTACTATGCCTTATTTCCTAAAGTGAAGATTTTAAAAACTCATCCCATCAAGATCTCATTATGTTTAATTTATATTATAAAACAAATCAAATAAGCAGAATTATTTGAACTAGCTTATCATAAAACACACATTCATATTTATAAGCATATAAACATAAATAATAATGTTTCTAATATCAGATTTTATATATTAAAATAAATGAAGCAATTTATATATACTGTAACATTAATTACACAAAAAGACTTTGATATCATTCCAATTTAAAAAAAATTTGAGGCAAAATAAAACATTTTTGTTTTTGCTTGCTGTTGTTGTTGTTGTTGTTGTTGTTGTTGTAGTTTCTTTCGTTTCCTATTGGGGCATATTCACTGATGTTCAGGGGTTAGTCTTCCTCTGCATTCAGGAATTTCTCCTGGAAATTCTCAGGGAACCACAGATCAAACCCAATTGGCTGCATGCAAGACAAATGCATTACCGTGTGTACAGCACTGTGAGAAAATTTTTAAAACATTTGAAAGGCGAAACAATTTGTATATGCATTCATTAAATTTTATTTCTTTAAATATTTTTCATATGTACTAGGCAGAGCCAAACATTTACCCATTACATGGGAAATGATTTTTGTCAGTATAATTTTGTACTGAGGAATACCCAGTGATTAATTAGTTCTTTTATAACATCTGCTAAATAAATAAAATATATAGTTCTCATTTTTTCCCATGTTTGTGGGTCTTAGAAATGGTAAAGAAAAAAGTGATGTGTTGAAAATATTTTTTATATTATTTTACTTGAGATAGTTTGATATTTTAAGCTATATAAATAATGTATATTTAGTAAGTTAAAAGCATATTATGACTTCTATTTCATAATGTAAAAATATTTAGGAAATGATAATATCTGTATATTCATTAAGATGCCCTTTACATTTCTGTTTTTAATAGATTAAGCGCTTAGCAAATAAATGTTTATCATGTTTTAGTGCTACTAGGTTAAATTTATTTCAATCCTATGTTATATGGATCAGCATAGAAATTCAAGGACAGAGCAAGATTTTTCCTCCTTACTTGAAATAATACCACTTTTTATCAAGGCACACTGGGCTCAATTAAGAAATCTATGACTATCTGAATCTTATAGAATTATAATGGCAACTAGTATTTCTGAAGTTCCAATCAATATTTTGATATTTATAGTCTGATTTTCAATGCCTTTGTTCAATGAACTAATTTGGGGACATGACCAAAGGCCAAAAATTCAGTATTTGAAACATTGCTCTGCAATTACCAATTATTTATGAAGTTGGTTCTTGTACAATGCTGTTTATTTTTATGCATTTTATAATTTTATATTTCATTTTTGTAAGCTAGTGATATAGACCTACAGAGTATTCTTAATTACTAAAATCATAAAACATTTAAATAATAGCTATTGTAAAAATCAGAATTTGGATTCACAAATACCATACATTTTTCAGTACGCTAATTTAATCGCATTCTGCTCCTCTTAGAACTGACTGATATATAAATAGTGAAACTAAAATTCTAAAATCAAATTGATTTTACCAATGACATTATTGTAATAATACAAAAGAAAATGAGGACGTTACAATTGCATATATATATTTTTTGTTTGTTTGTTTGTTTGTTTTGTTTTTTTTGGGTCACACCCGGCAATGTACAGGGGTTTACTCCTGGCTCTGCACTCAGGAATTACTCCTTGCAGTGTGTGGGGTCCGTATGAAATGCTGCGAATCAAGCCCAGATTGCCCGCGTGCAAGGCAAATGCCCTACCCACTGTACTATTGCTCGAGCCCCTGCATATATGTTTAAAAATGATATTTTCTATAAAAGTAAGAGGTAGGTAGATTGTACACAAATCATTTAGTTACATCATGATGACTGTGGAGATGGGGGTCCCTCACTGATTTTTCTGTGCCAATGGAGCAACACAAATTCTAGATAAAAAATGACACATCTGCATGAAAATAGGCAATGCAAATGCACAAACAAGAAAAACAGGCAATAAAATTGTATGTTCAGTACCTATTTCACTTTTCAGGAAATATACTTTTGATGGCATAACCATAATTAACAGGTGAGACATAACAAAATCCCTGATGTGTTAAACTTAGAAACCAGTAAAAAAAAACTGTATAACATAGAGATGTGTATTCTAATTTACCAATTTCTTTCTTCAAATATCTCATCGTACATGATATTTACTTAGTTATTCCCTACCCATTTAATGAGTCCTAAAATTATCAGCATGTATATTGTCTTACAAAAATATAATGTCATTGACATTTTCTTTTCTTCATGATATTCCCTACTTCCTGTTCCTCAGATATTGTTCTCTGGCAATCTGTAACTTGTGTCTGGAGAGAACTGATTTTTAAGAAATGGCTGACATCTTCTTGAAAACACAGTTTATGTCTTACCATTTAACTAAGTAAACACATTTTCTTAAAGACAAGTCCTGATTACTTTTTATTTCCCTAGTAAAGACCTATTTTAAAATTAGAAAGGTTAAAAATGTTATTCTAAACTTTAGGACACAGTTGAAGAATTCAAAAGTATTAGACAATTTAAACTTTTTATGTTTATCTATAAATGCATGTGTATATACATATACACACATAACTTATTTCAGATAATGTGATATCAACATCAAGGACCAACTCAGGGAATTTCCCTTAGTTGTACAAACCAGTTGTCAACTGCTACTGTACCCTCTTATTTATTTTTATGAGGATTCACTTCGACTCTGTGAAAAAATTCACTATTAGATCATTGAAATCTTAAGAAGGCCCTCCCGTTGATCATCGATTTGCTCGAGCGGGCCCAGTAACGTCTCCATTGGAGACTTTGTTGTTACTGTGTCTGGCATATGGAACACTCTCGGTAGCTTGCCGGGCTCTCCGAGAGGGGTGGAGGAATCGAACTCGGGTGGGCCATTTTGGCTGCGTGCAAGGCAGACGCCCTACCCTCTGTGCTATCACTCCAGCCCTTAAGAAGAGTTTTGGAAATGCAGCTCAAATTTTTCTAGACGACAGACACAAGATTGTTATTCAATAGAATAGGCCATCTATCACCTGACTAGGCCCTTAGCCTCCACAGAGCATCCTTGCTTCGCTGTCTGGACCTCACCTCAATGAGCTTGTGTCCTTCCTTACTGTTTTAAACTCTCTCTACCCAGTGTCTGTGCCACTGTCTATGAACCTTCCCTCTGTATCTCTCCACCTCGCTTCTGCATGGTGAAGTTGAATCTCTTCTTTATTCCTTTTGGTGCAGTCTCATGGTCTCTTGGGTGCCAGGGCTGCTGAAACTCCTAGTAAACAATGGGACTCACTGTCATCTTTCTTGTTATTTGCTTTGGGGAGCTATGCAAGGTACCTCCTTTTAGGGATGCTATAATTATAATGTACCTTATTACTATTTCCACTTGGAAATTCATTCTGGAATGATTCTGGCAGTGATAACTGGCTGTGACAGGGACCAGTTTTTGTCATAGGGTGTTTTTGTTTTTTTTGGAGGGGTGCTCTTTGGTTCACAACTGATGTTAGTCAGGGGTTACTCCTTGCTTTGCACTAGGGAATTACTGCTGGTGGCGCTTGGCGGCAGGGTACCAGGTGGGTTGCCTGGGATCCATCGTGGGTTGTTTTCATTCAAGGTAAGTGCCCGGCCCACTACTATCGTTCAAAGCCCTGTTGGTTTCTTTTTGTTTTATTT